GTCACACTTGCCTCTGCCTTCTCCCCCATGCTCAGGTCCAATTTTTAACAGCCAAGTAAGCACCCCCCGGAACCTCATGGGCACTTGTGGTCCTTCGCTGTCGCTTCTGCCTGAATATTTTCCTTTAGTCTGGTAAATTTGGAAGGAAAGAGTCTATGAGGACTAATGCAAAATGTATGGACACTTTGCATGGGGTTGATAGGAGTTATAAATTATTATTTTTGGTGTCATTATTACTTCAAAAGGGAAAAAACCCAATTCAACCTGGCTTAAATAATAAATGAGCTTTGTTGGCTAACTGAAGAGAAAGGAGAGACTAGCTTTGGGTCAGACTTGGTCCAGGGCTCCAATGATCTGGTCAGGATTCCAGTTCCTTCTCCATTTCTTGCTCTTCTTTGTTGGGGCTCACAAGTTTCTAGCAGTCTCTTTCCTCTGATTCCAAGACGGCTTCAGCAGTTTCTTTGGGTATATATGTCCTACTTATGTCCAGAAGGGATCAGAGAGAGTCCATTTCTCATAAGTTCCTCCAGAAATCTCATTGACTTGGGTTGGTTCCTATGTCCACCTCTGAACCAACCACTATGGCCAGGAGAAGGATCATTGAGAGTGGCCTAAGCCAAAAAAGATCCACTCTGGCCTTGGAAGTGAAGTCAAGACTACTCACATCATAGCAGGGAGTACTTTTCCAAAGAAAATTCAGGGTGCTGCAGCTGGCAGGAGATGGGAGTACTGAGGAAGTGATACACAAACGTCCTTTCTAGGGCCCAAAGAATGCTTTGATGGCAAAATGCAGGTTTGGATGCGATAATGGCAGCAATGGGAAGCCAGTTGGATCTTCATGTAGTTGGTTATTTTCAGATTCCTCTTTCTTGTTTTTTTTCTTAATGTTTATATTTGAGAAAGAGAGAGGGAGGGAGGGGGGAGGGAGGGAGGGAGGGAGGGAGGGAGAGAGAGAGAGAGAGAGAGAGAGAGAGAGAGAGAGAGAGAAAGGGGCAGAGAGACAGAGACAGAGAATCCCAAGTAGGCCCCATGCTGACAGCAGCGAGCCCTAAGTCTCTCGAACTTAACAAACTGTGAGATCACAACCTGAGCTGAAGTCTGATGCTAAACTGACTGAGCCACCCAAGGACCCCATCCGGTCTCTTAATTATTGAATAGAATAACGATGAAGGGAAAAGGAGAGACTTTGGAAGTTGGTAGAATGTTACAAAACATATGGTGGTCATTTTTGGAAGGGATTAAGCCAGTGCTATGTCTTGGCAAATGGAAAAGTCTAGGTTAAATAAATCCAACAAATGAATAAAGATGTATTATTGGTGTGATCAGCCTTTCTAGCATTCATCAAAAAATATCTGAATATTAAAAACAAGCCACCTACTCAGTGCTCTTTGCATTCTACAGACTTTAGAGTAAATGAATCAATAGTTAAGAGGCTTTACACAGAAATTAAGAAGGAGGAGCTTCTCCAAGAGGAAGATGATGCCAGAAACTTTATACCTACCCACCTTATTACTGAGTTGTCCTAAGGAATGCTAAATTAGTTAACTGTCTAAATGTTATACTTTCTCCTCAGTTTAGTTTTATTAATGAAGTATAGATAAGCTTCTTTAAACAAATACTTGCAATCTGAGAGACACTGGAACACCAAAATATCAGAGCTAGCAGGAATCCATAGTGTGACCCATCTGATAGATGAGAAGGTGGGTTGGGAGAGGGAAGTGGCAAGCCTGAGGCCACCCAAAGAACAGGTGGCTAAGGTATTGCTCTGGAGACAGCCAGTGTGGAGCTCTAGGCCTGAAGATCTAGGCCTTTGTGTTTCTTTCCATCTCATACGGGATCTCAGACCCTGGAAAGTGCAAGCCGAAGACGATGCCCAGGAGTTGTTGTTACTTACGTAGCTTTATTAAAGTATATAACTGATACACAAAACCTGCACATATTTAATGTGTAAGATTAAATGAGTTTGGGCATATATGTACACCTGTGAAATCATGATTCCGCTTATATAAGGTACGTAAAACAGTCAAACTCCTAGAAGCCAGTCAGGTTCTTGTGCACTGTCCAGGGTGGGATAATGCCTTCTTAGCTCACTTAAAGGCAGTTGTCCTCAAAAGTTGACCGCTAGATGGCAGAAAAAATCCATGTACCTGATAGGGAGGCACCTGTTCCTCAGATTTTGGAGCTCTGAGTATCTCTGAGGAGACAAGCTCATCTGCCTGGTGAGTCTGGAGAATTAGGCATCAGCCTACCACCATGTCAGTTCTGCAAGTCTGCATCTGTCTCAAGAGTCCATTGGTTAATTGTATCCTTCTTTGCAATAAAATATATTAGAAGGAGATGATCCAGTTGGAAAACTATTTTCGAAAAGGTTGAAATGACCATTAGGTAGTATTTCATATTTCTGAACTAAAATTTTCTACATTACAGAAGAGATTATTTGACAACCCGGAGAGATGAATCTCTAACTGCTAAAGTGGCATCTGAAATATTTTTAGACAAAGGGGAGGGAGGTCATCAGCCTCTGGAGTAAAGTCAACGGAGGCAGCCAGATACTTCTAGCAATAATAATAAAAGGCTCATCTTTGTTCAACACCTACCATGTGCCAGGAACTGTGCAAAGCACTTTATATTGGTAAATTTACTTAATATTCACAACAATCGTGAAGTAATGCATATTAAATCTGTTTTACAGAAAAGTATACAGAGGTCCAGAGTTTAATTAATTTGCTCAAGGTCATATAATCAGGAAAATGTGACTTAAAAAATGTATATACACTGCACAGAACTAACAATATGGTGCTTGATGTCAGCATCGTTAGGGCCTTATGAATCCAGATGAAAAGTAATTGTCCCTTTGGGCCTGGGACTCATGTACGAAGAATATCTCATTCCTGGAACACTGGAAAAAGTGGATCTGGAAAACAGTTTTAGCCGTGTTACTCTGAGTAAGGATGAGCAGAAGTTCTTAAGGGAGCATCGTAATATACCTAGGCTGCCGTTAGCAGAGTGTTTTCGACTAGGACCAGTCTGCTGGCTCCAGGTCGCATGGCCTTCTGCACAGCGGAGTAGTCAAGTCACACATCTTGGCTTCTTGGAGCAGCTAGCTCAATCTGTCTTCCATTTCCTCCACCGGCAAAGCACATCCAGCCTGACGTACTTCTCTGGTGTGTAACTTGATGTTCAGGAATTTTGTGGAACACGTCAGCACCCGTGGGACAGAGTAAGCTTTGTCGGGGGTGTGGCGTCCTGTGCCTAGAAAACCACCTCTCGGCTCACTTGGCCATGTCCTGACACTCACTGCGGTTGTTAGGATTCTTGGTACAAAGTAAAAGAACCCAGCTCCAGACAGCTCATTAAAAAGGTGGCTATGAAATAAATTTAAATATACCTCACAGTACATAGAATGGAAAGCGGCCTGACTTCAGGTTGAGATAAGAAACTGGAAAGATCCTGAGATCCTGTCCCCACCTATACTTCTCTGTACATCTTTATTATTCTTGGTTTTAGCCCTGAACTTTTCCTGCTGCTTAGTAAAAATCCTGGCCATCCACGGCTCTGAAATCCCCATGGTATGTGTTCTGCCACACGAGAAAATCTGACTTCCAAGTTTCTCACAAAAATATACGATTCTGAGACATTCTGGGACAATATTGTGCAAAGACCTTAATTCTTCTGGCTCAGGCCGTAACAGGCGTTAGAAGCTTTTTGCTTTGCTTTTCCATCATGATGGGGGCTGTTCTTGCTCACTTTCAGATAAGGCTGTATCAGCTCTGCTAATATAACCTGTTAATTTCAAAGGACTTTGTAAGTTGGCTGTGATTCAGATTCTCAGAATTGGGAAAATCTGTGTCTTTTGAGATAGGAGAGTTCTTTTCTTTCTCCTTTTAACTTGTTTTTTCCCCTAAAATATCAGAATGCAATTTTTCCAGGTGCCACGTGGCTCCTCCACAACACACAGACTGCGGTAGTTGTTTTTAACGAACGTTATCACCAGCCGTTCAGCCGTGGCAACTTTTGTTTCAGTGTTGTTGTTGTTGTTGCTTTTAACTTTGGGAGGTGACAGAGAACTCCTTGTAAGATGCACACACCGAATGTCACCGTCTGCATCACTGATATTCTCCCGGGTACCAGGAACTCAGCACTGCAGAGGGCGCCAGCACTCATCCTGTCTCTAAGTGTGCACACACAGGGAAAGCCTTAGGTAAGACTGGCAAGTGTCAACAGGCGTCACTATGTTTGGACCCCAGTTCTCTCCTGTGTTGCCCCCTTTCCCCGGCAAGACCACCTGGTGTGATGAGATGTGGGTATGTGGAACTTGTCTGGTTGCCTAAGAATTGCTAAATGGGATCCAAAGCTGAAGGAAGAGGCATCAGAACTCATACAACCAGGGGCAGATCCCAGATCCGTCTCCAAGCTGTCTCTGCTGCCTCAGTGTCATCCCTCACCCTTTCCTGCCAAGCTTATACAAACAGAAGATTTGGAAGGGGAGGGTGGGCTGTACTGTGGCTCTTCCCACCATGATTTTCCACCTATGTTCTAGCCTTTTAGAGATTCTCCAAGACCATCCTTTATGAAGGACACAGGCCTTGGGAAGACAGATAAGCATTCTTTTTCCCCAGCTCGGTATGTCTGCACATACAGGACGACGGCCTGTGTCAACAGGGAGCAGGAAGGAAAGAAGACAGAGTGCAGTGGGACCCAGTTATCTTGGAGGGTCAAGGTCATGAGAGTGACCCAGGGGTCAAGAAGAGTCTACTAAGGGTCTTGACCTTAAAACCAATAGTTATTATGAATTCTTTCTCATGCCACAGGCAAAAGTCAGTTTCAGGTAGATTACAGATCTAAATATAAGAGAGAAAACAATGATGATTCCCATCTGTGATTTACAACATCCCCACGACCCCGTGGCCGGCAACAATTTCTTCCACCGGACACACTCACATGTACTGTAGCAATGCTATTTAGTGCCAGGTGTTTTATAAAGTTTATGTTCTACTCACACAATTCTATGAGGTAGGAGTAACTTTCCACTTCTGTCTGGGAAAACACAATTCCATATCTGACTGGTTGCAAACTTGACAGGCATGTGTGGAGAAGTCTGCTTGGAGTTCTCATCCGAGCGCTCATCTCAGCCCACAAGTTGGCTGCAATGACATTTCTAGTTAAATCAGGACTCCTTTTCATACAGAAGTGTTAGATATTGCAAATTGAGAGAAAACAAATCTAATATTCATTAAACACCTATCTTGTCAAGGACTAAACTAGCTCATTTATATGCTTACTTTGCTCAATCCTTACAACAGCCCTATGAGGCAAATATAATTATGCCCATTTTTAATAGTTAATAGAACTGATAGAGAAGTCAAACATCCTCCCCCCAGGTCACAAAGCTGGAAACCTGGATAGGAGCCAGGACTGGATCAAGATAGTCATCTACATTTACTACCCATGAAACGAAAAGGGTAGGGGTTATCTGGCTTAGAAACTTTTCAGAGCATATGCTATTCACCTTTGGCCTCCACCATGGGATACTCTTCATTTTCTTTCCATGGAACCAAAGGGATTCCATGTTCTTCCTTTTCAACAGCCAGTCAAGGGGTTATTTTCCAATTACACTGAAAGATCTTTGGGGCTAGATTCACTTGGATTTTGGAAATTTGTCCTTAATGATTAAAAAATTTTTTTTTTTCAACGTTTATTTATTTTTGGGACAGAGAGAGACAGAGCATGAACGGGGGAGGGGCAGAGAGAGAGGGAGACACAGAATCGGAAACAGGCTCCAGGCTCTGAGCCACCAGCCCAGAGCCCGACGCGGGGCTCGAACTCACAGACCGCGAGATCGTGACCTGGCTGAAGACAGACGCTTAACCGACTGCACCACCCAGGCGCCCCTGTCCTTAATGATTTTAAATAGCAAGTTCAGTTATATAGGACCATGGATGTTCTATGCTTGATATTTCAGGGCAGTGATCCATGCTTCCTTTAAAAACTTAAAGAGATTTAAATTTTCAATTTTATCAGATTCATAGAATGGGAAAAAAATATATGGAAAGGTACTATGGGGCACAGAATTTTTGTTGTTGTTGTTTCAGGAAAGTTTTCTTTATTGTCCAAAAGTTTGTTTTTAAATAAAAGTTCAGAAGCAGAGACACTATCACTGATGAAGATCATTTATCTCACTCTTTGATTCAAACCTTTGTATTTCTGGCCTTCCCCTATTTTTCTCCAAGATTATAAGCTTTTCCTGTGAAATCTATTTTCCACTCAGCTCTCCTCCAACCTCCCCACACTCCCTACCCGGTAAGCACTGGAGACTCAAGAAACAGATGGTAAACTTGGCCTGAAGATGGAGGGGGCCGTGTGAAAGTTGTGAGAAGGAAATGCGTTTGTCCCTTCTCGCCCTCCTGTCATCAGGAATTGGGCAGTGACTGCCATGTCTGTGGAAAAGTCTCACATATGGTATCACAAACTAACCTCAGCATGATGCTGGAACAGTAGGTGGAACCAGAAATGCCCATCCTTCGAGGTGATAAAGCCGTCCGTGACTTTCCTAGGAAATAATCATATGTGATAGTTGGATAAACCCATCCTTGACATTTTTAGGAAATAACCATATAACCTTATCTTGTATTTCAAATTACTTTAGGTATTTGGTAAAAAAATCATGAGTTTGTGCCACTCCTGTGAGAAGTGGGTTTATCCTGGTTGGAGAGTCAGAGAATAATAAGGTTATGTAGTTGCCAAAATAATTTACTTAGAAGGACAGCATCTGGTCATGAGAAGTTTAGAAACTTGGATTGAAGGTTTGGGGATGGCGGTAACCTATAGAAGGAGTAAGGTTCTTTCAACTTTAGCTTAGCTCAGGGAGAAACACTGCAGGACAGACCTAGCAGCAAAGTTATGTTCAGATCGTACTTGGAAGGAAGGCAGCTGGTGACTGACAGAATGCCTGAAGGGGACAGTGTCCCTGGATGGAGAAACTCCACAGAGCAGGACCAGGCAGAATATGCCAAGTCTTGGTGTCTGTGCCATAGAGGACAATGGCTTCCTAACACCAGACACTTTATTCTGATGAGTTGAGAACTGGAGTTAAATTTTAAAAAGTAGTACCTAACATACCACTTGTTGATTTAAGGTACATCTCCTTGAGGAAGGGTCTGTCTCTTTAACTCTTGTTTCATGTTATTTAAGGGTTAACCTAAAAACAAAGTTATGTTTGGTTAAACAGCTTTACTTTTTAACTAAACTGCATTTTATTAAATGGCAAAAACAACAGCAAAGAAACGGGAAGATGTGGGGAGCCTGGGTGGCTCAGGTGGTTAAACATCTGACTCTTGGTTTTGGCTCAGGTCATGATCTCACAGTTCGTGAGTTTGAGCCCATGTCGGGCTCTGCGCTGACAGCGCGGAGCCTGCTTGAGACTCTCTCTTTCTCTGCCCCTCCCCCACTCACATGCGCACACTGTCCCTCTCAGAATAAACATAAAACAAAAGCAAAAAAAGAAACAGGAAGATCTGATGGAATTAACTATGGTTTGAAGTCAGACATTGCTGGTCTTCGAAATCTTGATCTGCCACTTCTTAGCTGGGTGACTGTAGTTAGAGCACCTACTTAGTTTTCAGCATTCTTGTTTTTTAACACTGGGATAATGGTATCTAACTTTTAGGGTTACTGCGAAAAACAAGTCAAATAATAAATGCAAAACCCTAGTTTAGTGCTTGAAACTTAGTATGCAACTGATAAACAATTCTGGTAAAAGAACATTATGTCAGTCTCTTCGTTATACACATCAAAGGAGCTATATTTACCCCTAAACCCTTCTTCCCTAGCTGGCACCAACCTTTCTAACAAAAATGGAAAATACAGGTATAGGGTTCACGAAGAAACAATTTCTTGACAACTTATTTTGCAAATGCAAGGTATTTTAGTAATGGCAAATCCAGGGCTCACAGCTGCAAAACTTACATGAAGTTTCTCCTCTTCCCATCATAAAATGCTCCAGAGATTTGCACTGGGTGACTTAGAATTAAGGAAAGACCATGACCAAGTCTTTAAAACCCCCAAATAAGAGGACAATTGGGTACACTTTGGGAAGAAAGGAAGCATTCCTTTACCTTGGTTAAGTAGATGAAGCCACCAGTACTCTACCTGAATGACAAACATAGTTGAAGTCGCACATGCAGGTCATGAGGAAATAGTTGCTCCCCAGCGGTTAAAATCTAGCAGGTATTTAAAGAACATTTGGAGATGTGTAGCTTTCGGCCCAACTTCAAAATGGTTTCACAGGGGACAGCTTGAGCGAGAAGTGACGATAGTAGTGTTTAAAAAGTGAAAGGATCGGGGAGATCCAGGCCTTCTCATTCCTTTCAACTCCCATTTCCCAGAGCTCAGCAGCCTCCAGCATGAAGGTGAGGTCTGCAAGAACTAGTGGGAATCAGCTTCATGATCAACGGAGCCAGCCAAGGAACAGCACAATGGTGGTTTTGTACGAAGACAAAGCGGATGGCTATGTTTCAACCAATTTACCTCTTTATTCCATCCTGTTAATATTTGCAGCCAGGGATAAAGGTTCTCAAATACTTTTTGCAGCATTTCACTGTTTTGCTGAATTAGAATAACAACATAGAGGGCTGTGGCTGCAAGGAATGGAAAATGATTCCGCGCAGCTTAAATGCAAAAGGAAGTTATTTCAAGTCTTATTGGGTAGCTCATCAGATTGAAAGAAGAATTGAAAATCAATCAGCACAGTATCAAGGTAGGTCTAAGAACCCCGTAGCAGGAGTGATCAGTCAGTCTCTGTGGAGACTGGTATACAAATGGCTTAGATCTACCTCCACTCCCATGGTAGGTCATTCTTCTTGAGACTCAAGTCCTGGGAAAGGGAGTTGAAATATCCTGAATGTTCAGTGGGGAGGGGAAGAGTACAGGGCACTGTGATTGATACAACCAAAGATGTTGATCAGTTTTGCAAAGAAAAACCAAAATAGTATTACTTAAAGAACTCTGGAAGTATTCTGAGCAGGCAAAGCCTGTCTCTACAAGACACATCATTCTGGCAGGTAATGATTTTACCTGGAGAAAAGCTTTCCCAGTAAATCAGGTGCTAATGATGAGTGAAGTATAACAGGAGCTAATTATCTGACCGACACCTCACTCCTATTAGAGCTCAGGAATAGCAGGCACTTTGGCATAGATGATTTTACAATAAGTAAGAGGGAAGAGAAAGAAAGAAGAGGAAGGGGGGGAAGGGAAGAAGGAGAAAGACCCAGTGGCTCACATCAAAGCCATGATAACCCAATGAGGGCTTGGGGATGGTGGTGGAATAAATATCTTCAGCCCCTCCATCTTCCCTGTGTGCAACATGCTTCACATAGTTCTGTCATCATGTCACAAGGCACCTGAAGAAAGGGCAGGTAGAGCCTATTCCCAGAAAGAAAATCTTTCTCCTAGATCAGCACTGCCTACAAGAAATATGCCAACCACGTAAGTAATTTTAAATTTTTTAGTAAGGCACACTACAGGTAAAAATTAACAGGTGAAATTACTTTTAATAATATATTTTGATTCATTATATACAAAATATTATCATGCCAACGTATAATCAATGAAAGAAATGAATGAGATATGTGACCTTCTTTTCACACTAAATCTTTGAAATCCAGGGTGTAGTTTACGCTGACAGCACATCTCAGCTGGGACTGGCCACCCTCCAACAGCCACATGTGGTCAGTGGCTACCATACTGGACAATGGATGCTTAGAAAATTCTGGCATTCTGGCTTTGCTTTGCAACATCGAAGTAACTGAACAATTATTGTATGATTATACAATTGTATCTGGGGTCTGTGTGAGGGTGGGGTGTTTTGGTTTTCTTTCATTTTAAGCAAAAGTAAAGGGAAACACACTTTATTTCCATTCCATGTTTCCCAAGCTAGGACATTGTTTCTGTTCAGATTCACAGTTGCCATTTTTTTTCCTAATCCTGTTCTGGGAGGAAGCCAATGTTCTGTGAAACTTCAACAACGGTTTCTTGGGAGACAAAAGAGAAGACTCCCATACAGATGAGGAACATGAGGCCAAGGGAGACCAAATAACTTGCCCAAAGATTGCAGGCTGCATGGTTGCAGAGCTGGGATCGGA